TCTCCATGAAATTTTCTTACTTTTCACTCCCACATTTACAACTAATTAGGGGTAGAAGGTCATTTTTCTCTAAGGAAATTTGTCTAGAATTTTCAAGATTCAAAAAGTTCTTTGCCCAACGAAACCTTTCTTCACCTTGGCGAAGCATTCCAAAGCATACATCGCCGCGGCAAAATTCTTCTTCGCCATGGCGAAGCCTGCAAATTCTAGAACACGTTTGGGGAAAGAGTTTGTTGCCGCGACTAAAACTTCCTAGGCCGCGGCGAAGTCTGTACTTCCCAAATTTTCAATCTCCATCTAAAACAAAAAAACTAAGGAATTAAAGGCATAAAAACATAACTAACTTACCTAATGTGGGTGTACATTCTTGTAGCAAACTCTATTAATTATAACTCCTCATAATAATATAATTTTAGTTACCAACATTATGATTATAGAGAGGTTCATTGTATCTTCCTCTCACCTTCAAGTCCACCCTCACCACACCATAGCTATTCACCCACCACCATTCGTAGTTGATAGTAGGAACCCAAAAACAACAACCCTCCCAGGAAACTCATCTCAAACAATCCAGACGCTGCCAATACCAGATGGATTCCATCCCCAATGGAATTATTTTCTTGTAATGCATTGATGACCCGCTTGTGATTATAGTCTCTGTTAACAAACGTAATTCTGAAACCATGTTTAACGAAGCATACGAAAGCTCCAGTAAAGGAATTACATGGCCTTGTGCTGGAAAAGGAACTACCAGAATATGTGCAGCACTCATTTTACTTTTGTGTTTTGTATGTTCCTATGAGCAAACTTTGCTTTGTTTTATAAGGATAAATGCTTGTGCTTATTTTATTTTGTTTTTCCTAATATTATGATTTAATTGAACTTTCATAAAACAAAACGTTTATTTCAATTTAGAATAGAATATTCTTGATTAGTTATAGTGTGATAGATACATATGTAGCTCTCAGATTAAGCGGTTCATCCAAGTAGGAGGGGCAAACAATAGGTACAAATGTGCCTGCATTAAATTATTTCTTTGTCAACGAATTTGTCATTGTCAGGTTCGTCTACTATATTCATTGCTATGTGAACTAGTATTTATAACGCTCCATCTTCTTCATTATTTCTTTCATCCATGATTTTCACAGCTTTCAATTGCCACCTGGAAACAGATTAGCTTGGTGTAACTATCATTTGTGTGCACTCTGCACAAGAATATCATAAGCCTTTATTAATCATGATTACCTTTAATGAATCTTATGTTTAGTGTTAATCGATCACGATTAACTCGAAACATACGATTTAATTGTGGCCAAACATGCCTACACTTACAAGTGAACAGCTTTTGAGGACCATTCGCGACTTAACAAACTCAGAGTGAGACTAAGCTTTTGTGGACCTTCGCGACTTAACAACTCAGAGTGAGCTATTTGATAAATTATATGATTTGTCCGGATATTGTGACTGTCTTCTTATTTGTTCCCATATAAAATTTTATGACTTTAGGAAAAATATTTAATAAAGAATACAATTATAATAAAAATATAATTATAGGAGTCATATTAGAAATTAAAATATAAATTTTATTAAAAATAGAATATTCCATAATACAGGTTATGATATAATGTCTCATAATATAAGGATGAGAACCAAGTATGAGAACAATAATGATTTGCTTATAAATAAGTCATACAAATAGACAAAAATTACATAAAATCTATGTAAAATGACTACCCTGATCTTTGTTGTTTGTCTGTTTGTATGACTTAGTTATACAACTCAGTTGTAAGCATAGTATTGCTCTTATGAGAATATGAGAATATAAGGTATTTGATGTAAAAGTTATTAAACACCGTGATTGTTTTTGTTCAATTAATTGTGTATTGGGTTTATGGTATTGTGTATATTGTGTTCATGAAACTATAGTGAATTTCTCTCATCTGTGGATGTAGACGGGTTATGGCAAACAATGTAAATATCTTGTCTTTTTGTGTAGTGTGATTTTATTTTTATGTTATTAATCTCGAATGTATGTTTTCCATTGCTCAATCTCCTAACTTGGTTATACTAGGTTATTATGTGTTCCTTTGTGTTAGTATCATTGATTTTTTACTGTCACCTTCCGCACTAATTGATATTCCTTATGACCCTCCATTTAGGTAATTGTGGTTGTCTCTTATTGAACTTGAATAAAGTTTCAAAAGAAGAAGAAAAAAAAGATTTTAATTAAATAGTAGGGATGACCCCCACCATCGATTAGAAATTCCCCATGCCTTGATCTTGTTAGAAGTTGAATTTATCCCACATCGCCCCAATAGTGGGTTGTTATGGTGTATATAAGTGGTTGAGACCCCTCCTTCCTTGAGCTAGTTTTTAGGGAATGAGTTCTACCCAAACCTATTTTATCATGGTATCAGAGTCAAGTCTCTCCCCCTTTTTGGTTGGGGAGATAATAGGTTTGGAACCCGACCTTAAACACCGAGTGTAAAAGAAGGTGTTAGAAGTTAAATTTGTCAAAGATTGACCCAATAGTAAACTGTTATGGTGTATATAAGTTGTTGGACTCCATTCTCTCTTAAGCTAGTTTTTGAGCTTGAGTTCTATCCAAACCCACTTTATCATAACTAATATACTCTGCTTTTCCGTACATAGTTGTAAGTCGACCTCAGCTTAAATTTGTCTTGGTAATTGCAATGATACATTTCCTATTAATGACTCGCTTGCGTTAGCACCTCTTCACAAATGTGACTTTGAGGCCATATATCCTTAGCAAAGCATTGTGAAATCTCCATTACAGGATTTACATGAGCGTGTGCAGCATAAGGAATTACCAGGACCAGGACATATGGATTGCTCATTCCCGTTAGTTCAACTTATTCCTCTACTATTCAGCCGTTGCAAAAATTTTATTCAAGAAATTCATCTATGTGGCTGAGGCTAATGAACGAGGAGCTAATGCTCAAATTTTCTCTTCTGGTGCATCTTACTAATGAATTAGTTATTCTAAACCTAAGTTGGGACATATGCTTTGTTATCTTTGTTATATTTCAAATGCGTGGAAACATTTAGATTAATGAGTCATCTTAAATAATTTTGGAAAAGTAAAAGTCACAATGAATGAATCTTGAAATATTGAAAATTAAATGTTCAGAATTTTTTAAAACATTTCTAGTTATTAGGGATTCATGAATTACATTTATATTATCTATTAAATGATTGGTTATTTGGTATTAAGGGAATATTTATTTATTCGTTAGTTATTGTAATCGATAACATAATCAAACCATGCTATTCCTTTTAGGTGAAAAATGTAACAAAGTTCTAATGCTAAATGCAGCTGAAGCATGTGCAAAAACATTTTTTTTTTTGGGGAGAATGACAATTTCCCACCCAAAGACCAAAGCAAGGCGTAAATAAGTTTTCCCACCCAGAACGTCTCAGAAATTTTTTTTTCCAGCCACCGTTAAAATTCAAACATGCAAAAAGGCATTTTAGGGTTAATATCGTTTATACCCTAAATTACAAACACATAACAATTATCTTCATCAACTTAGAAATTAGCCATTTAAACCCCAGCTGGGTAACTGCTTGTCTCGTACTGAATGCAGGTCTTGTTTTGTCATTTTTCTTCTCTTATGATCTGTTGATCTGAGCTATTCCAGCGAGTTTCGCTTGGGATTTTGCTACTCTTATATGAGTTATGGATAGAATCATGTATCATGTATCATGTATGAAGTTAGAGACGATAATGGCCAGCGACTGAGTTGAATTGTTAAAATTATCTTCGGTTTTATTGGTTTCTTAAACTTTATATTTTGTCTATTGCTATAATTTACTTGTTTTAACCATAATATCTGTTGAACCTTTCTCTCAGATTCAGCTGTTATAAAATATTATATCGTAAAAGTTCGTCATCTCATCGGGAGGAGCACCAAACCAGTAACCAATGCATGCATCTGAGTAAAGAATGAATTATTCTGAAACGCGAGTCGCGACATGTGTGTGATGAAGTTGTTCGTGACCTGGTTGGCGTGTAGTTTGGGCTGTATTTTTGTCTTTATAACTGTGAGTTTAAACTTTCAGTTGCCTGGGAAACAGGTCAGCTTAACGGAGGTGAATATCAAAGATGAGCCCTGAGATCAGCATTAATGAACATAGACATAATACATTTATTTTAGAAACTGTCTATCATTCAGTTCATGCAACACAACAATGACAAGTTTATTTGTTCGAGGAGAAATGATCCATTAATACTTAGTTATCTTATTCCAGTTCCTATGCTCTTATCCATTCAATGAACTTCTTGAAATTCTGGTTAGACAGACCACCTTCTTTGACACTTTTCAATGCAGATTCCTGGAGTTCCAAAGCTTTTGCTTTGAAATTTTCATCACCAAGCACTTGATCCACCTTGCTCTTAATTTCTTCTCGTGTGATGATCCCACTTTCGTCANAAGCAGGAGAAGAATTGATTGGTATTGCTGGGTCGAACCGAACCAATTTTTATGGAGTTGATTTCGGGTGGGGAAAACCAAAGAAAGTAGAGATAATATCTATTGATCGAACAGAAGCAATTGCTATGTTGAAGAGTGGAGATGGAAATGGTGTTGAAATTGGAATGGTTTTGAGCAGGCATGAAATGGAGATTTTCAAGTATCTGTTTGTTTCTGGTTTACAGGATGTTTGAAGTCTGCAATATTCCGTATAATCAATATATAATAATATTAGGGGTGTTCGGTTCCGGTTACCTTACATTTTTTGAAGGAATCGGAATCGGAACTAGAACTGATGGTTCCTTGAAATTTGGAACTAGAACCGGAACCGATGGTTCCGATTCCTAGATACCCAGAACCTGTAACAACGGTTCCGGTTCTAGGTATCCTGTAAAATTACAATGACCCTCCAAAAGTTTTTAAAATGGCAAAAAAACCCTTAAAAACTTACAAATACCCCCCCACCTGACACTTGTTAACAAAAATAAAAAATTATAANAGCCCTTCTCAATAAGTAGGAAAATCTTCCTCTGGGTGATTAAGTCGCCAACGTTCCAGATAAGATTTGCATTGCTGATTGTAGGAATGTTTCGCCCCAGCTGAATCATATGTCTCCCAGTCGTAGTTCCTAAAATAAGTTAAAGGGAAATCAATTTCATCAAATGTTACAAATCTAGTCTTATCATGAAGGGAGAACACAAGAAAAAAGAAATGTTTATTAAGTGTCTTACCGTCTTTGTTAATGATTCCATCATCAATCAGCTTTGGAATATGGTAGTACAAGGCCAGAGACGCCACTGCCATCGGCATAAACGCAGCCCCTTTAATTTTCAGTTTCTTTGCCGTTTTCAGGGTCATTCCAACATGCATATCAGCAATGACACAAGTGATCTTTTCATCTTCCTCTTTGTTGTTGATCTCTTGTATGAGCTCTTCCAGCTTCCCAGGCATCACCATTACAAGTGATTCACATAACTTGCCTAAATCATTTCTATCCTCCCAGGGTTCCAATCCATCTGGAATCGATACCAGGCGGATTTCTTCATCATCTCCTACATAGTTTTTTTCCTGCAAGGCGTTGATGACCCGCTTGTGAGTATGATCTGTGTTTACAAACGTGACCCTGAGGCCATGCTTCACTAAGTAATGTGAAAGCTCAAGTAAAGAAATTACATGGCCTTGTGCTGGTAAAGGTATTACCAGAATATGTGGACGAGTCATTTCAGTTTTCTCTCTCTTTCCTGCTTGATTTTGAACAAGCATTGGCTTCTTATATATCATGTTGATTACAAGTTTTATAAATATTGTGGAGGGTCCCCATGTAATCTCATTCTCAGCTATCTTTTCGCTGTCGTCTGATGCACCGGATGATGCTCATTATCAACCTCCAGGTGGGTTACTGCTTGTCTCTTATTGAGGCATATGTGTAGCTTGGTCCTCCTTTTGTCTTTATCTTTTGACCTTTTTTTCTGAAAAAACAGAGATGATTGAGGGTGGATTGGATCTGTAGTTTGAATTCTTGATTTCTTTAAACCCTATTTTGTAATAATGTAATTAGTTTGATGTTGCATAAATGATTGAGATAATTGTCAACAATTAAAATATTTTGAGCTGCATAAGTTTGTTGATGAAGCAGGTTCAACAACTTTTTATTATTATTATTATTATTTAATATGCCTTTTAGGTAATATCTAAGTCAATGAGATCAGAGTCTGAAAGCCTAATTTGTTGATCTTACTGATGATTAATTTGAATCCCAAGTTGGGACATGGATGAGCTTAATTAAGTATCCTTTTTAATGAATTTCTCTGTTCTAATCTGTTTTATAACCTGTTGGCCATGTGGGTATGGGCTGTAATTTTGTCTCTGTTCTTCTACAGAATTTTTTATTAGTTCCACAGCCTGGAAACAGGTCTTAATTGATGCGCATTTGAGTGAAATGTCAGGAAATTGGGTTAGAAAAGAGATATATGAACTAATTTATTTCATTCTCGTTTATCGAACATCATTTGTTTTTTGATATTCCGAGATACGCGGAGCAATAGCTGATTTGATTTGAGATATCAAAAATGCCATTGCAGAGTGACATGTCAAGTAAAAACCGTAAAGGAATCCCAGATTGATAATGAAATTTTATTTCGGCTCACCAAAAAAGCAGAAAAAAAACAAAAAAACAAAACAAAAATTTGAATTGTTTCTCCTCTGAAATTGGCACAGATTAATCCTCCTCAGGGAATAGCAATAACTAATATAATGATCTATGATTTCAACCATAGAATGAAATTCATTAAATTGTTGTAGGAGCTCCCACCTTCTTTGATGCTACTCATGACCAATTCCTTGAGACCTAAAGCACTTGCACTATATTTTCCATTTCCCACCAGTTCCTCCACTTTAGTTTTAATTTCTTCTGGTGTAATGATCCCTCTTTCATCTCTATTTAACCTTAATCCTACCTTCCACGTATCGCAAATGTAGCTTTCGTTGTGGAACTGATCAACAATGTAATTCCAGCACAAGAGAGGACCCCCCTTGCTTAATGCTGCCATTGTTGAGTTCCAACCGCAATGAATTATAAAGCAAGCAACTGAAGGATGATCCAGGATCTTCAGCTGAGGTGCCCAATCAACTATCTTGCCACGACCACCGACTCTGTGTCGAAATCCTTTTGGGTAGGCATCATCTACTGCATATGTAATACCGGGGCGCACAACCCACAGGAAAGGTCTGTTGGAGAGTTCAAGCCCCAATGCTAATTCATGGAATTGGGTTTGTTCTAAAAAGGTGGAACTGCCAAATGCAACATATATGACTGATTGAGGTGGCTGCTGGTCGAGCCATTTCAAACAAGTAAAGTCCTCTGCCCAGAAATTTCCTGCTGAGTCTCCTGGTGGGTTGCCGGCAAAAATAGGGCCTATCGGTAGTATCTCTGGAGCCATGGTAAATGCTGCAGGTTCAAGATCATAAGCTGAGTTGCAAAGCAGCCAGTTTGTCAGTTTCATCGCTCTAGTGTTTGTTATAGTATTTTTGAAAATAGTTTTCTGCAAGTTCATGTTTCCAGTACAAGTCCACATGAAGTCTGCTGTGTTCATGGCAGGCATGTTTGGTGATAACTTAATCATCTGCTTTTTAGTCGGTGTTCCTGCAAAGCAAATGCAAAAGACTTAAAACTTCTTGTTTCAGTTTTTTTCAATATTTGCAGAGTTCTAAGTAAGCTTCATCTGATAAAAAAATTATGAAAAACTTATTGTGAACAAGCAAGAATTAGTGATTGAGGATATCACCATCTTTATCTATTATTCCGTCACCAATCAGCTTCTGAATGCTCAACACCAAGACCATCAGTGTCGCTGCATTAGGCCGGAATGCAGCTCGCCTGATGCCCTTCTTGTCAGCAATTTCCAGTGCCCATCCAACATTGTAATCTGCTAGGACACAAGCGATCTCTTCGTCGTCAGATTCATTAACTTGATCAATGAGCTCCTCCACTTTCTGTGGCATAACCTGCATGATTGCTTTCATTACTTTCTCTGGCTGTTTTCTCTCCTCTGAGGATTCTAGCACATCTGAAACCGAAACAAGACGAATTCCATTCCCTGTACCATCCTTCATAGCCGATGCATTCATGAGCTGCTTGTGATTATACTCTGTATTTACAAAAGTAATCCTGCACCCTTGTTTCACTAAACATTGTGAAAGTTTCATCATAGGAATTACATGTCCTTGTGATGGATAAGGTATAACCAGAACATGTGGATTTCCCATTTTAGTTCTTCCTTCTCTTGTGCAGAAATTTGTTGTTTTTGCATCTGTCTTCTTTAAATTCATGTCACCTTGGTTGCTAATTTAGTAGGAACAAGGCAATACTCAAAAGAATCTCAAGACATTGTCTTATGCTGTTGACATTTATTGACTTTTGTCTTAACTTTTTTGATTCACCGACTTCTCTCCACTATTTTCTACCTAAGCATTTTTTATATATATAAATACTGACATTAGAGTTCAGATGCCAATGCCTCCTTTTTCCCTTCCGAAATATGAATAGTCCCTACTTAGTAAATACGGGTACGGTAAAAAAATAGTACGAGAATTTTATAGGTATAATACGATAAACGGTAAAAAATATGTTTATAAAAATTCGGCCATAAAATTCGGATACAGAAAAAATATGGTACGGGTATATACGGGTTTAATACGGTACATTGTCAATAATACGTTTTGAAAAATACGGCAATATCAATCTTAGTTTTAATACTTTTATGGACTACCTGGTTTTGAAAATTCATATTTTAAACATACCTATTGTTAAAGAAAATTAAAAAAAAAGTTAAATTCTTATTCCAAATATTACCATTATTTCAATACAAAATCAATAAATTAATACTAAATCAAAACAGAAAATTTTGTTCAAATTGGATAAGAAATATATTTAAAATAAAAAAAAAAAAAATCCTAATACAAGTGTATATTTCCTCTATTACCAAGGATCCTGTCCTTTTAAGGCTTTAATCACTCACATTGGCCATAATAATCACCCGAGGACCACACAAAATGTCGATTAAAATCCCTCATGAAAAGTCAAGTATATCCTTATAGCCTTCCCTAAACTTCCCAAAACCAAAAAGACAGAAAGAATAAAAAAAGAAAAGCAAAAGGTGGGTGTTACCGTAAATTCTCAATCCCATAAACCAAAAAAGACATCCTCCACTTTCCTTAAATTGTTTGGTTTGGAGTCCAGCCGAGCAGACCAGACCAGTCAGCCTCTAACATAAATGATAAAACATTTCTTTGTAAACTGTCAAAAAAAAAAAAAAAAAACCAACACGCTTCTCTACATCTTACTTTACCCTTTTTTGTGTTTTTTTTTTTTTTTTAACAAACAGATCTCACTTAACTACTCTGAACCAACTGCATTTTTGTTGTTCTAAAGCACTTCTTCTTCTTCTTCTTCTTCATCTATGGCTGGCTACAGAGCTGAAGATGACTATGATTACCTCTTCAAGGTGGTGTTGATTGGTGACACTAGTGTTGGCAAGTCTAATCTGCTTTCCAGGTTCACTAGGAACGAGTTTAGTCTCGAGTCTAAGTCCACTAGACAACCTTCCTCTTCCCCTTCTTATTCTTCGATTGCTTCTTCAAATACTAGTAATAAAGCTCTGTTACCTTCCTCCAGAAGCTGGAACTGAAGAAGAACTGAAGAAGAGAGATCTGAGATCTGTTTTGTTTTTTTTTTTCAATAATTCGCGAATAGTTCGCGAATTATTCGCGAATTATACGGGAAGTCTTATTATACGCGTATAATTCGGCAGATTTCACAAAATACGTATACGTATGTTTTATACGCGAATTATACGGTTGTCCATACAATTCGCGTATAATACGCATTTTTACTAACTAGATTGAATACAAGAAAGAGTGATGATATTGGAAAATTAATAGCATAAATTGACAAGTTCTGCCGTTAATTTTAATTTCTGTTCAAGTAAAGACATTTTCCTTTCTATCCTTTTTTGGTTTATTTTTGAACAAATTTGTCATAAACCTTGCTTAGGCCTTCAACAATGGAATCCCCCACCTTCTTTGATATTTAGTTTTTTGCATTGTTTGTGGTGGAATTTGTTGAAATCGCTACCAAAACACACAACAATGAAAGTAGAAAAGTAACAAAAAATAATGGATTTATCTTGATTCATTCCCAATGAAATAACTACGTCCAACAATCAAATAGAGTAGTTTTAGTGAGCAAGAACAAAGTATGAACCATGTCTAACAGAATTGAATAAAGTATATGGTTAGTAACTTGAATTTTTGTCTTAAATTGATAAAATCTACAACAAGTAATACAGTGCTGACATTACTACTTGAATCTAATGGTTAATTAATCAATTTATGTTCGAGGGCAACTAATCTTTGAGAATAAGGTAGAAGTGTCACATATTACGATTAAGAAAATAAAATTCTCAATAATAGAGGGAAGAATGATGTTACGTAAACGAATTTTCTTCCTTAATTCCTTCTTTTGGTATTTTATTTCAAAGAAATTGCTTAAGATTTTCCAAGTTTTATGGAGTTGATTTCGGGTGGGGAAGACAATAGAAAGTAGAGATATTGTGGATTGATAAAACATGAGCAACTCCTGTGACGGAGAGTGGATATTGAAATGGCGTTGAAATTGGAGATTCTAAAAGCAAGTGTTTTCATGGAGGAACATGGAGTTGCAAATATTGCAGAGAAAATCAGTAACACGATAAGAGAAATTGATGAGAAGGGACTTTTTGAAGGTGCAGAAGAGAGTTTAGAAAAGTTGATGGGTTTGGGGAAAGGAGAAGAAAGGATTAGTATTGTCGGGTCGAACCGATTCAAGCTTTATGGAGTTTATTACCGGTGGGGAAGACCAAAGAAAGAAGAGATAATATCTATTGATAGAACTGGAGTAATTGCTATGTTGGAGAGTGGAGATTGAAATGGCGTTGAAATTGGAATGGTTTTGAGCAGCCATGAAATGGAGATTTTCAAGTCCGTTTGCTTCTGATTTACAGGATCTTTGAGTATGCGATATCCAATATAACCTTGTACTATTTTTATTTGTCTTTTATGTAAAAAAAATTTCTATAGGGTTATTATCCCTCACCTCCCTTGAGTATTGGGATTACAAATAACACCCTACAGGTTTAATATAGCATGCTCACCCCTCTTTACATTACAATAATTATCTATACCTCCCCTCTTCACCGTTTATTAACATAATTCTTTGACTGATGAAAGGTACTTGAGTAAATGAACTACATACCTCCCTGCCCTCTTTTAAGTAAAGGTACTACAGGTTTATCTATACTAAGCACTAATTAATATAGATAAATGATGCGGCAATAAAAGAATTGTGCTATATCAATTAGCATACAAGAATTTGTATTAATAGTTTGCACATATAACACCACTCTAATTTTATACGGTATATTCTCTACTAATTAGCTAAATTTTATAACATATTTGAGCATTATTATTCTATAGTAGTTTTTGTTCATACATTATTATACATTACTCTCTACCATTAGCGCACCGTTTAAGCTTATATTATTCAAAGATTTTTTTTTTTTGTTATTTAATCAAACTAAGGTGATTATTTCGTTAATCCAAAGTTAAATCGGAAAAACATCACCTACAAAATTAAAATTGTATGTGATAATCAATGCTCACTTTCAAAAATCAATCATTAAATCACACTTTCTCTGTCAGTTAAATATCAAATCTCATGCCAAATTCAAAGAGAAATATGTTGAAGTCCCACACTGATTAGGCACACTCAAGTCTACTGGTTTATAAGAGGGGTAATCTTCCCATTCAACAAGAACTTATTGGGTGAGGATTCAGGCCCACCTCAAATTCTATCATGATATTAGAGCCTAGATTCAGTTGAGCTAAGTACTTGACTAGCTGGTGAGGAGTTAGAACCAACAACTACCTCCATCAACCGGCGTGACCCAACATATAGGCTTGACCGTGAGAGGGAGTGTTGGAGCCCCACCCCCTGCTGATTTATAAAATGAGATAATCCTCCCATTCAACAAGGACTTATTAGGTGGGGAGTCAGACCCACTTCAAATTTTATCAAAATCATCGCTACCTTACTTATCTTACACTTTATAGTACGTAAATTAGAGAACACAAATCTTATCTAAAATACGCTGATTATTTTTTCTTCAATTGAACCTTATCATCTTCAACTCCACCCAATTGAACCTCATCATCTTCAACTCCACCCAATTGAACCTCATCATCTTCAACTCCACCATCACCACCATCACTATTAATTCACCCCGCCATTAATTCATACTACGATTCCATAAACAAACTCATCATACCTTGCTTTTTCTTCTATCTTCTGAAGATGTCAAGTGGATAACTTGCAGAAGTCAATGAGACGAAGAGTTTAATTTTCTTTAAGGTTGTTCCCCTGTATTAAATGCGGATTATCTTCTAATTAAATAAATAATTAAGAATTGTTTTTAATTATAGTCTTTATTTATAGACTTTCAACTCAAAACAGAGATGATCAGAACATAATACATTGAGTTGGAAACTAGTTTTCTTTGACTCTCTTTCACCATGGCTTCACATTGTTGGAATCCCACACTGACTAGGCACGTTCAAGCTTACTAGTTTATAAGAGGTAATCCTCTCATTCAACAAAACCTTATTAGGTGAGGAGTCAAGCACACCTCAAATTCTATCATGGTATCAAAGCCCAGGTTTAGTTGAGCTGAGTGCTTGACCAACAGGTGGGGAGTTAGAGCCATCAACTACCTCCATCAATAGGCATGACCCAACATATGGACTTACCCATGAGGGGGAGTGTTGGAGTCTTACACCGACTAGGCACGCTCAAGCCTATACCTGGGCAAGGGACCGGTCCCTTGCGGGCCTAGGCTTGGGCCCGTTTGGGACTGGTCCCTTGGGACTGGTCCCAAATGGGACCAATCTCTCATAGGCCTGGGACCGGTCCCAGGCCCATGAGAAAAATTAGGACCCGGACCAGGCCTTAGGCCTGGCCGGGACTGGTCCCATGGGCCCAGGACCGGTCCCATGGGGTTTGGAAAATTTTATTTTCCCCCCTCAATTTTTTTATATTTTGGGGGCAAAATGAAATTTTATAGGGGGTTTTTAGTATTTTTTAGGGGTTGATTAGTAAGTTTCTAAAAATTTAATTAATTTAAAAAAATAATAAATTAATAGTTAATTTTAAAAAATAATAAATTAATAGTTAATTTTAATTTTTAACATAAATATAATATTCACATTTCACAC